ACAGAGCTTTATTATTAATGTGAACTCCTACCCTTGCATTGTATGGTCACGATTTTTTTTAACATTTACATCATTGTGTTACTGGTTTTAATTTATTTCTTTAGGGATTTTACACCGTATACTGTTTAATATCTTAATAACTCCAGCTCTCTTTTTAGCATTATTATAAATCACTCTACCTATTAGACTGAGACATACATCCCACTGCCTCTGAATCCCCTACCACACTCCATGACAAGCAAGTCAACATGATTTTATGCAACGTACAAAGTTAGAGAACTACTGCTTTTACCTGTTCAGTTACCTCTTCGTGTGCTTCAACATAATCTTGGATATATCTACGTTTTAGGCATACTTAGGTATGGAAGATCCCACTTCACTAGAAAGAGTTCAACTGGATGACAGTTCTCTCCCAAGTTAATATTTTATATCTACAAACATTACCAGGTAGCTGTTGTTTTTAAGAAAGATGAACTGCAGCAACTACAACCTTTCAAAACTACTAAAACAGAGTGTAAAATAATATGCTAAGGGGACCAGATATAAAGTGGCATAGGGCATTTTCTGTGGTGGCACCTTGCCTTTGGAACACTCTCCCACTTGAGGCTTGCCTACTTAATTATACTTTCTTCTAGGCACCAGTTTACAACACATCTTATTACTCAGTTTTTGATTAGGGGTTTTGTCTTATCAGCTTTTTAATGGTCTGCTTCTGTTTTATGGAAAGTTTTTATGTTGATTGTGGTTTTTCACTGTAAGCCACCTTAAGCAGGACCCTGAAGAGGTGGTATAGAAATATTTTAAACAAAGTAAATGAATAATACATAAATACGCTTGTATATAGCACTTTGGATACTCCAAAGACCTTTATGTAACTTAAGAGATAATGTAATACCATTTCATAAAATTTTAGACATACTGTTTTAAAAACTACAGTGAGGTTTCATACCTTTCATGGCATCCTTATATATGTTGATAAATAATCTGAAGATTTCTTTAGGAACATCCTCTTCATTTGGCAAACAGCATAATAATATAATAATTTCTGCTTGTCCCAAGCCATGCAGCCCATTGGTTGAGAAGTACCAACACCTTTCTGAACCATCTTGATTAAAAAAATTAAACACACAGTAGCAGGAGTTTAAGAATGCCAATATTTTCTGTACAGGCAACAAAGCAAACAGATTTTGTTCTACATGCTTTTTAGAAATTGTGACACTATTTAGCATGCTTTAACAAGCTTTAGTATGCTTTAACAAGCTTACAATGCAAACTTACACATAAATAGAGAATTAAATGCCACTGTGTTCTATGGGACCTATTCCCTAGAAAGGATTGCAGCCTTAGAAAATATAGTAAGAGTATTTGTTTATTTAAAACATTTTTATGCTACCTTTCCACCTGATCAGGGTTTACAAGGTGGCTGCTATACTGGCTACAAAGATACAAAATTAGAAGTAGAAATACGCATGTCTTCAAATTACAGGTCCCTTCGACAATGAAGCTGCTGTACTGAAGCAAACATAGCTGTTTGATTATTGTGATTTAAAATATTTACATCTGACACTTTCTCTCTGTACATAAGAATTTTACTTTTTTCATTCTGTCTAGTGAAGAGTTTGAAAGGTAGTGTCACTTAAAAAATAGTTCAGAACTGACTACACTACCAGTTTGGTTTAATTAAAAGTTACCTTCCTACCTATTTATTATTATTATTTTTATTATTATTTATTATTATATTTATATCCTGCCCTCCCCACGAATGGGCTCAGGACGGCTTACACTTTCGGCACCATGTGCCTGGTTATATAAAACATTTAAAAACAGTTAAAAACAACATACAACAAACAATTTACATATCTCTACTGATAATGCCCAGAATAATGCCGACCTGGGCAATACAATATGCCCAAACATCATGCACTCAAAGAAAAGAGTGCAAAGTTTATGTACAGTAGATATGTCAAGCTTAGAGGCAGTGGACAAAAGTAAAGTGGAAAAGCTTCAAGTGAAATACAAAAAAATTAAATCTACACTTTACTATATTCTGATTTCACAGTAGCATCCAGACACAACAAAACATTTAGAAAATTTCATTTTGTATACTAATACTTACAAGATACTATCTTAACATTCACAAGTAAATTTGCATTTAGGATAAATGTCAGTGGATTAGATTCTTCAAGTAGTAAGGCAATTTGCTTGTGAGAAGGCTGTTCTTCCACTAAGGATTCTAAGAAATATAAACACAGAGAATGTTTACCACAGAAGAATTTACTTGTTTCTTCTCTGCCTAAACCAAAATATTAAATGTTGCCACATCTAATCAAGTCTATGCATGCCATGGGGGCTTCCTGATGGTGGATATGGAAAAGGCAAGAGTCCCATGTACTTTGTTACACTTCCCAACAGACAGCAAGAATTAATAATTTATTGTTTATACAGCAACATCAATGTACAAGGGATATGAAGACAGGACCCTAACCAAGGAATTTTTATTTTCAAATTTACCACTGTGAGATAGACAAGTGAGGGAGATTGAAATTAAACAAGCATATCCTTCCAATATTTATCCCTGCTTCAAAGGTGACACCCACTCACCTTCAAAGGTGGGTTTTGATGAACTATTTTTAAGGGAGAGTGAGAGATGGAATTACAGGTATGTTCCAGGAGGCAAGGCCTCATAAAAAGGGTGGCAAGGGCAAAGTCATTTGAAGGAGCAGGAGAACTTTGGACACCTAAAGACAGCAGAATTGAGCAGCAATGACCACAGGCAAGGATGGATCAGAATGTGAGAGGAGAAATACAAAAGGACCAGACGGCTGAAGATTTTGGAGGATGAGGAATTCCTATTTGTAGTCTTGTCTGTACTCATGGATTACTGGACCTTCTCTCTGTGTACTGTTTTCAATAATTGTAACTGTCTTTTCCACTGAAAATATCGGAAATGTCAGCTTTTCTATTAGAAATAAAATTGGAAAGGCCAGAAAAGCCAACCTTCAAAGCTCCAGAAGAGAAATAGCAAAGATGTTCATTGATCTCAGCATTTATCAGAAGACGAGGCTTGAATAGCCAAGTGTAAGTGACTGATGCATCTTAGCATTTTCCCGTATTTCCATGATGTTTTGTGCTTTCATGCCAATAAAGGTTTTGTGTGTGTGTGATCTCAGCATTTCCTCCATCAGAAAGAGGAGAAATAAGTCATAGGACTCCTGTCTTGTAACAGCAGGGGCTTGAATAGCCAAGTGTAAGTGACTGATGCATCTTAGCATTTTCCCGTATTTCCATGATGTTTTGTGCTTTCATGCCAATAAAGGTTTTGTGTGTGTGTGATCTCAGCATTTCCTCCATCAGAAAGAGGAGAAATAAGTCATAGGACTCCTGTCTTGTAACAGCAGGGTTACGTATATTTAACACTAACAGCTAGGGCTGCCAAATCCCCCTGGGGGGCGGATTTCCCCCCGCTTTGGAGGCCCGATTTCCGCCGCGGCGGAATCGACAAGCAGGACATTGAGCAGCTGGATCATCTTCCTGAAACCAGAGTAATTACAGGATTTTCAAGGATGAAAACACTGTTTGATGCTCATTTGTAAATATGTACGGAGTTGAGTAAAACACTAATTTAACAATTCCAAAGCGAGTAAATGACATATAGATCAGCTTTATTTTATCAAACACCTATTTTGCCCTGTGCATTCCAAATTATTTTCTGCATCATGTATCAGTGACAAAATGAAACGGCTGAAGAAACCAAACTGGCAAAATTATACAACCCAAATAATACTGCAGTATGTCAGTGTTCTTTTCTCACTGGTCCACTGACAGCCCAGAAATGGATTTCTAATACACCGAGAGCAGATTCATAGGCAATGCCAGGCAAGAGTAAGCTTTGGCAAAAGGAGCAATACCTGCCACAGGTGTCCTGTTTTTCAGCCTTTCCACTTCCATAATGAAGTCATCTTTCAAGAACAAGAACCCAACAATGGAGAAGAGGTAAACAAGGATGAGGGCCAGCACAGCAGTCAGGATAATGGAGCGTCCATTCCGTGTAACACTTTTAATGACATTCAGCAACGTCTCCTCTCTGTATACCAAGTCAAATAACTTGGAGGAAAGAAGACAAAACAAGGAAACAGATGAATATAAGTAGAATACATAGGTTCTAGGAATATAAACAGAATACATAACGAATGCATATAAATAGAATAAATACAATCGTGTTTCCAGATAAACCCACACATGCATTAGTGTGAAAGTTTTCAAACTGCAACCTGGGGAACCCTAGGTTTCCTTAAAAACGTATGGCGGGTTCCTCAATGAGAAAACCAGTAACAACAAAAAAGTTTCACTGAAAGACATCTTGTCCACCATTACTGACTTCCCTTTATAATGTGGAACTACAGAAGACGGTTGAATGCCTTCTTGGGTACACACGCAGTCCACATGAAGCCCAACAAGCCTTGCGTAAATGGAGCATATAACCTAAAACCAATGCCTACTGATTTTAGGAAATGATCGCCATCTATATATATAAAAAAGCCCCCTCACCATAAAATCAATACGCAGGCCAAACCGCTGGACCTAGAGACACCAAATTCGGGGAAAGCACTCCCACCATGACATAGGTGATTGCTAAGAAGGGATTTTTAGAAATTCAACCCCTAAATGGGTCAAAAGGGGGAAAAGGTGCTCCTCCCATTCATTCCTATGCGGCTGCCAGGCAGCTCTCTCCCTGCACCCCCTACTCTCTGATTGGTCAGCTGCTGATCCCAGGGTGGCGTGAGATTACAAACTGGTGGGAAGAGACAAATGAGCCTCCTAGTGAGCGGATGAGTAAAGACGGATTGCCCATTGATAGTATGGTGGGCCGAGATATCGGCTAAGTAAACTCCAATGGATGAATGACTTAAGCCTTGGTCTACCAGGGACAGTAAGAAACTGAAGATAATAAAAAGGCTTGATGGGGGTGGAGGTAGCTTAACAGAGTCGAGATAGTACAGGAACTTCTTCCACTTATAGGATCTGAGAGTGGAAGGTTTCCTGCAGTTTAGCATGACATGATCTATCCTATGTTGCAGATCAGTCAGAGAATTTTCCACGCTGTGAGCTTCAGACGTGGAACATTGTGGTAGAGTACTAAGCCCCCTTGAGAGAGCAGAAGTTTTGACACTCTTGGGAAGTGGTGAAATGATCCCTTGGAGAGGTGTAGAAGTGTTGATAACCAGTGCTGGCGAGGCCACCATGGTGTAATCAAGATGTACTTCAGGAACTCCCTCATGATTTTGTTGATCACTCTGGTGATCAAAGGGATGGGGAGGAAAGAGAAATAGGTATTGGTGGGACCAGGGGTATAAGAGTACATCTCCTAGGGAGAGTGGGTCCCAGCCCCCCCCCCCCAGAGCAGAACCTGTGACATTTTGTGTTGTGTTTGGTCACAAAGACATCCAAGACATCAACCATAGGGTGAGTCCAGGCATTGAAGACCGTTCGCAGGTACTTCCAATTGAGTTCCCACTGATGGAGGGATGCCCCCCCCCCACGCTCAGAAAGTCTGTCGTAACATTCTGGTTGCCCAGGAAATGGGAGGCTACAGGGAAGATTTTCTGGGCTTGGTACTCATCCCAGATCTCTAGGGCTAGATTGCAGAGGTGCCGTGAGACTGTGCCACCCTGTCAACTTATATAGTAGAGGGCAGTTATATTGTCTGTGAAAACTGAAATTACCCGATGACCAGAGAATCGGTCAAAAGTCCCCCTTAAAGCAGGGGAGGCGGGAACCCCCCCATTGAAATAAAAACAGACTTAAAACAGAAGCAAAAGAGATGAGATTAAAGAACTTACAAGAGACTTTTAGGCATTTTGCAGACTTGAGAGACTTTTGGCAATTTTACTTTGAATGTAAACATCCTCAAAGATGTTGGTGAAAAAGATGGAGAAAGATAAGCATCCAAAACTTAAGTCTTCTTCAGAAACTGCCAGCCCAGCGAGCGGATGTAACCATAGACTTTTCTAAGATTCTAACAGATGCTTTGCGACCCCTGCTGGAGCAAATGAAGATGCTCAACGATAATTTTACTGCACAGCAACAGCAACTAAGTGAGAACATTAAAAAAAACTGAGCAAACAGCTGAGAACCTTAAAGAAATGGATGCCAACACTAAAAAGCTTTAAAAACAAATGCAGGAGATGGAAAAGAAGAGAAACTCAGACGAAGCTCAGCTTCTACAGCTGCAAATGGAAAAAGCAAGCTTTATTCTGAGATTTCAAGGAGTTCCTGAGAGCAAAGAGGAGAATCTAAGGCAGATCATGATTGATGCTCTGGGTCTGGCTGCAGATTTAAAAGCGGATGTTCTTCAAAGCGAAATGGATGTGATCTATAGATCATATTCAGAATTTATAAAGAAAAATAATCTGCCCAGCGAGATGGTGGTTAGATTCTCCAGAAGACAAGTGAGAGACCAGATCCTAAAGGCAACAAATGGAACTACCCTTAAAATTGACAGCAAGGAGATAAGAGTTTTGAAAGACATTCCCTTTGAAATAAGAAAGAAAAGGAAAAAATACAGAGACTTGGCTTTGTTTTTACAAAAGAATAACTTGGATTTTCCCAGGTTAACTTTTAAACCAAAAAGTTCTTGTGATTTTGCAAAGACTTTTTGTAATTCCAGTAGCAATGTTTCTGGGTCGGTAATGAAAATTACTTTGTGGGTAGAGGTGTCAATTTTAATGCCTTTGATGTTAGGATTGTCTCTTATTGCCCTAGCTAATGGCTCAATAGCTAGAGGGAATAACAAAGGAGACATAGGGCATCCTTGCCTTGTACCACTTTGCATGGAGATGGTTCTTCCAAGGATATTGTTGGTTTGTATCCGTGCGATTGGTTGAGCGTACAATGTCTTAATAGCCATTAGGAATTTCTCCCCAAAGTTCATTTCTTTCAGTAGCTGTTTCAGATAGGTTGTTTCCAAGCTGTCGAAAGCTTTTTCTAAGTCAATTGATAACAGTAGTGATTCAATTTTTTGTCCTTTGTAATGTGCTATTAGTTTCGAAGTCCGTCGTATATTGTCCGTTAGTGTACGTTTAGGAATAAATCCTGTCTGGTCCGCTGATATGTAGTTCTGAATGATGTTTTGGAGTCTATTTGCTAGAACTTTAGCAAATAGTTTTGCATCGCAGTTTAATAAGGCGATAGGTCGGTATGTTGAAGGAGAGTCTCGGTTTGTATTATCTTTAGGGATAGTAATTATGTGTGATTCTCTCCAGGAAGGTGGCATTTGTCCTGTATATAGTAGGTGATTACACATTGTAGCAAAGTGATCGACTAGGAGAGTGTTGAATGTTTTATAAAATATTGGGCCAAAGCCATCACTGCCAAGAGCCGTGTTAGATTTTGTTGGTTTCAGTGCTTCCAATATATCTGTGTTAGTAATAGGGAGTTCCAAATTTCTGCGATGTTCTGGTTGCAATTTGTTTAACCAAGGCATTCTTCTGTAAAATTTCTTGAATTTTGTCCACATTTGAATTAGTAGTGCTATACAGCTTCCCATAAAACTGAGTAAAGCATTCACTAATTTCCACAGGGTTTGTAGTTGTGGAATTATTTGGAGTTTTTATGGCAAAGATTTTTCGATCTATTTGTTTATTCTTAACACGCCAAGCCAGTAGTTTGACACTTTTAGCGTTCTTTTGCCAATACAATTGTTTCATGTATAGTATGTTTTTTTGTATTTTATTTGTTTCTATTGTTTCCAGAACTCTCCAAGTTGCCAAAAGATCTTTATAAATTCTTTTGCTTCCTGTGTTTTTATGTATTGACTCCAACTTTTGAATTTTTTCTAGTGTAACCTTGACTTCATGTTGTCTTTCTTTTTTCCTTTTAGAGGCTATCGCAATCAGCTTTCCCCTGATCACCGCTTTAAAAGCATCCCAGACAAGATGATCTTCTATGTCTCCAGTGATGTTCTCCTTGAAATATAAATTTATTGACTGAGCCAGATCTTCTTTGTGTTCATCATATAACAAAATTGAATTATTCAATCTCCAAGTGCGTTGTGTATTTCTTATGTTGTGTTTGTTGAGATGTAATTCCACATAGGCATAATCAGACCATATAAAGGGACCTATGGTTGTACTGTTGACTTTAGGTAAAAGAGAGTCTGCAACAATCAGTCAATGCGAGTGTAGGTATGGAATCTCGGGGAGAAATACATGTAATCTCTCTCTCCTTGATGTGTTTCTCTCCAGGAATCATAGAGATGATATTTCTTTAGCATATCATGTAGTTTGGTGAATCTATTTGACTGAGAAATCTTCTGTTTGCCGGATCTGTCCAAATGTTGATCTATGATTAAGTTAAGATCACCGCCGATAATAACTTGTCCCTCTTTAAAGGCGTCAAGTTTTGTTAGTGTATCTTCTATAAATTGCTCCTGTTTGTCATTTGGAGCATATATCAATGCCAAGGTTATTTGTTCCTGATCTAGTTTGCATTTCAAAAATAAAAATCTTCCACATGGATCTTCTAGTTTGGTTTCTAAAATAAAATGCATAGATTTGGCCAGTAAAATTGCAACTCCTCTTGATTTTAAGAACATAAGAACATAAGAGACGCCAATGTTGGATCAGGCCAAAGGCCCATCCAGTCCAACACTCTGTGTCACACAGTGGCCAGAAATACCAGTGCCATCAGGAGGTCCAGCAGTGGGGCCAGGACATTAGAAGCCCTCCCACTGTTGACCCCCCCAAGCACCAAGAAGACAGAGCATCACTTGCCCCAGAGCCCCTAGCTATACCTTGTGGCTAATAGCCACTGATGGACCTCTGCTCCATATGCTTATCTAATTCCCTTTTGAAGCCGTCCATGCTTGTAGCACCCACCACTTCCTGTGGCAGTGAATTCCATGTGTTAATCACTCTTTGGGTGAAGAAGTACTTCCTTTTATCCGTTCTAACCTGACCGCTCTGCAGTTTCATGGAGTGCCCACGAGTTCTTGTATTGTGAGAAAGGGAGAAAAGTACCTCTTTCTTTACCTGCTCTTTCCCATGCATAATCTTATAAACCTCGATCATGTCACCCCTCAGTCGTCTTTTCTCCAAGCTAAAGAGCCCTAAGCGCTTTAACCTTTCCTCATAGGGAAAGTGTTCCAACCCTTTTATCATTCGAGTTGCCCTTTTCTGCACTTTTTCCAAAGCTATAATATCCTTTTTAAGGTGTGGTGCCCAGAACTGCACACAGTATTCCAAATGAGGTCTCACCTTTTGATGAGCCCCCAGCGTGATACTGTTGATCATACCAGCCAGCATTCAGCACCAGTTTGCTTTGAGGTTTTAAATGCGTTTCTTGCATAAGCCCCACATCAGGTTTTGATTTTAAAATAAATGAGGGCATCCTCCTACGCTTAATGCAATTATTCAGACCTCGCACGTTAATAGACCTAAGCACATATGAGTCAGACATATTGACAAAATTTAGCATGTCTCCAAAAATAGATATGTAAATACAAAGAGTATTAGATATTGATATCAGTTATTATTACAGAATAATAAAGTCTAACAAGATGTTATGCAAAAATTAACCACAGTAGAATTACCACAAAATCACTCAGTGAGTAACAAATAAGTTTCCCCTTCTCCCACCCCAGAAACCCTCCCTCAACTTAATACCCCACAAACTTTGTGACTCTAAATTGTCACGTGTTAATAAGTTGAGCCATAAAGGAGATGAGATCTTTGTTCTCTTCTGCCTGTTCTGGCAAGCCTCTAAATTTCAAATTAGCAGCCTTCATATCTGCCTCAAGGGAAATCAAATGATCTTTTTGAAGGGCTTAAGCTTCTTGTAAAGCTTTAATTTCTACTTGATTAGAGATGCCTGTCTCTAAAGCTTCCTCTGCTTTCTGGGCTGTTTGTTGTAGGGAGGTCTGCATATCTTCCAACTGGAAGAAGAGACTGTCTATTTTTTTGTAATATACCTGCCTCCATGGCTTTTAAGTAGCTAAGTATAGCTGAGGAAGAAGGTTCTTGTTGTGTTTGTTCCGTTTGTTCTATTGCGGCCGCCATTTTGCTTTCGGCCCGATTTGCAGCACCGCGTTGAAACGCTGCTTCTAGGGAGTCCTTTGCATTTTTATTAATATTAGGGGTATTTCTCTGCTTACCCAGGTCCGTTTTCCATTTGTGTCCGGTTTAGGCATGTTTCTGAAGCTTTTTCACGGGCGGGAGCAGAATAGGGTCGGGAGCTCTGGAGTTACACGACCGCCACGTTCATTGCGTCGCCCCGCCCCCCACATGCTTAAGTTTTCAATTCTCAATTATCACACAGTGTTTCTAAATTGATTTTGCAGTGTGATTTAACACATCATTTGTGGCAGAGAGGAACACTCCTAATTTTAGAAACACACACCATAGCAAAAATAAATAAATAAAACCCTTCACTTTCGTAGAGGAAACTTACGTTCTCCTTTTCCTCCTCTTGCAAGCAGAAGAGGTGGTAATCCATCATCCTCAGGAATAAGGCTGATCTCTTTGCTAACACAATTTTCAATACCACAGAGCATCCCATAATCTAAAGGACTAACTGGCACTTCATTAGTTTCATTAGCTGCAAAAGGAACAGGAGACTCAGAAGCTTCAACAACGGTAGGGAATCCGATAGCAGGAGGAATCACAGAGTCAGAACCACACAACTGCTCAGCTTGTCCTTCAGTGGAACACGTGATGCTTTCTGAAGCAGAATGACCCAAGGTCTCAGTTTTCCCAGCTACATGCATTCCATCCTTTGGTCTAATCTCACTTGCACAGGCTGGGCTTTCAACCTATGACAAGAATTCATAGACATTCATTCTAGTTCAAAAATGTAAAAAAAAAAAAAAAGCATAAGAATTTCAATGAAAATAAATGGACAACTTTCAGAATTGTTACAAAACTCATCCCCTAGTTGCTATTTTTCCTCAACTGCAACATATCTCAGATTGTCACCCATCTTGAATGGCAGCTTTCTTTGAATCATCTTGTTTTTAAACCTCCTTACCCTAAAGCGGAGGCTGGACGACCATCTTTTGGGTATGTTGTAGGGCTATCTTTCGGCTATGCTCCTGCAGAGTGTAGAGGGTTGGACTAGATGACCTGCAAGGTACCTTCCAACTCTAACATTCTATGATTCTAAACAGGGCTATTTTTGTAGAAAAAGTCCAGCAGGAACTCATTAGCATAATAGGCCACACCCAGCAACAGAAACTCATTAGCATATTAGGCCACACCCCTGACTGCACCACTCATTAGCATATTAAGCCACACACCCACGTTACCAGAAGTGTGGTCATCCAGCCACACCCACCTTTTGCTTGTTATTCTGTTTACCTTGTTTGTGGTCAAAATCCTGGGCTTTTTTTGTAGCAGGAACTCCTTTGCATGTTAGGCCACACACCCCTAACGTAGCCAATCCTAATGAGTTTCTGATGTTGGGTGTGGCCTATTATGCTAATGAGTTCCTGCTGGGTGTGGCCAACTTGGGAGCCAGCCGGAACTCCGTTCCTGTGCGTTCCTGCCCCAAAATAGCCCTGATTCTAAAGTGTGGTATATGGATATACCGCTGGAAAGATCCAGTTTGAAAAGCCTTGCTCAGCCACAAAGTTCACTGGGTGCCCTTGGGCCAATCACAAAGCTTCCTCACATATTGGTTCTGCTTACTAAGTATTTACTTACTGGATGAAGGTCCTGTGGGGATTTCCTGATTCCAGAAGACAATTTTGTTGTGTCGGCAACTTCCCCATTGGGCAAAATACCATCTGCAAACCAAACTCTTCTTTGTTCTTTAGGGCACACGCCTAGGGAAGAATAAGGCAGAAACAAAATCCACAAATGCCAATGAGTATTCAATTTTTCTAGCACAAAGAAGAAGAGTTAGATTTATACCCCACCCTTCACTTGGAGACTCACAGTGGCTTAAAATCTCCTTCCCTTTCTCTCCCCACTACAGACACCCTGTGAGGGAGGTGGGGCTGAGAGAGCTCTGAGACAACTGCTCTTGAGAGAACAGCTCTGAGAGAACTGTGACTGACCCAAGGTCACCCAGCTGGCTGCATGTGGAGAAGTGGGGAATCAAACCCGGTTCTCCAAATTAGAGTCTGCCGCTCTCAACCACTAAACAAACTGGCTCTTTAAAGAACTGCTTGAAATGTCTCAAAGACCTCAAAATCAAACAGGTTTGTTTTCAAATGATGTACTTTTACATCTGTTTTGATAGTTCAGAGAACTCTAGAAGGCAACAATTTCATATTCTGATATATTTCTGTACAAATACATCACTGAGACCTGAGATTTAGGCAAATAGGTTTGTTTTTTTACAAAAAAAGTATACCAGACGCTTGGGCTTCTTGCAAAGGTTGAACAGTCGAACAATTTCCAGATATACCAGAATTAGGAGCAGTTGGACTCATCATCCTTTCAAATGCCTGTGCTAAAACAGAAAGTTTAAGCATATCAGATATAGTTATGCATAAGTATGAAAGATTACCAGGCATTGGTAAAAATAAAATCAGAAAAGTATCACTGATTATATTTCAGGATCTGACACCTGAGCCTGTAACATGGTCTATTGCCTTTCTTAAAACATTAGTTTAAAATGAGTTTCTGTTGTACTTCAATGTAAAACACCCCAGAGGATGCTTCCCTTAGGAATGCCATTATAAAGAAAACAAGCAGGGACCTGCAGCAAAATGCTGCAGCATTCACTTAGTCCCTGCGTTTGCTGAGCATTCTCATTGCCCAAAAAATCCTAGGAAATATAATTCAAACTGGGCCTGCTGAGGATCCTTTGTTGAAGATACTGCTGGAACTATACACTTCTTTTCAGGTATGGAGGAGGGGGAGAGAGGAGAAATTATACTTTCTTTCCATTCCACCTTTCAGAAACCTTCCTCCCACTTTGCTCTAATAGCATGGGGTATGTGATTTCAGGCACCTGCCCTTGCTGTTCAGAAAAGCTCTGGGCCAGCTCCCAGTCCTATACCTTACCGTGACAAAAAAGATGGTGGAAGAGCTTTCCAGAAATTGACAAGAGAACAACAGACTGTACACACAGAACATTCAAGCATTTTTTAGCCTAATGGCTGTTCAGGAAAGTGAGGGCTTGTACTTCCTGCAAACATGCATGCTGCTCTCTTGGTTTTGGGGAGCTTTTGTTCCAATGGCAGGGGAAGTGAAGGAAGACGTGCATTTGTTTCTGCAAGCTTGGAAGTAAGCAGAAACTTCCCTCTTTCTTGTGCCTGCACCACTGTGCTGCTTTCGTTTAGTTAATTTTATACTTTCGTATTAGAGAGCAATGCTTTAGGAGTTAGTATTACAGAGTAATGCTGGGCCATTCAAGTCTTATGTACAGCCCTGTAAAATTAGGAGGAATGTCAGACTTCTCTCATGTAGCCTTCATGGAACATATTGTCAAGGGCTGCTTGTGGTCATTATCTACAAGACAATTCTATTAATAGAACATAAGAGAACCCAATGTTGGATCAGGCCAATGGCCCACCCAATCCAACACTCTGTCACACAGTGGCCAAAAATACCAGGTGCCATCAGGAGGTCCAGCAGTGGGGCCAGGACACTAGAAGCCCTCCCACTGTTGCGGCCCCCCTCCAAGCACCAAGAATACAGAGCATTACTTGCCTCAGACTGAGAGTTCCTATCTTTACCTTGTGGCTAATAGCCACTGATGGACCTCTGCTCCATATGCTTATCTAATTCCCTTTTGAAGCTGTCCATGCTTGTAGCCGCCAACACCTGTGGCAGTGAATTCCATGTGTTAATCACTCTTTGGGTGAAGAAGTACTTCCTTTTATCCATTCATTGAGTGCCCATGAGTTCTTGTATTGTGAGAAAGGGAGAAAGGTACTTCTTTCTTTACCTGCTCTATCCCACCCATAATCTTGTAAACCTCTATCATGTCACCCTTCAGTCATCATTTCTCCAAGCTAAAGAGCTCCAAGTGCTTTAACCTTTCTTCATAGGGAAAATGTTCCAACCCTTTTATCATTCTAGTTGCCCTTTTCTGCACTTTTTCCAATGCTATAACACCTTTTTCAGGTGTAGTGACCAGAATTGTACACAGTATTCCAAATGACGTCGCACCATCGATTTATACAGAGGCATTATAATACTGGCTGATTTGTTTTCAGTTCCCTAATAATCCCCAGCATAGCGCTGGCTTTTTTTACTGCTGTCGCACACTGTCCCAACATTTTTAGTAAGTTATCTACTACGACTCCAAGATCTCTCTCTTGGTCAGTCTCTGCCAATTCGGACCCCATCAACGTGTATTGATAATTAGGATTTTTGGCCCCAATGTGCATCACTTTGCACTTGGCCACATTGAGCCCCACTTGCCATGTTGATGCCCACTCACCCATCCTCGACAGATCCCTTTGGAGTGCCTCACAATCCCCTCTGGTTTTCACCTTCTGAACAATTTCGTGTCATCTGCAAATTTAGCCACTTCACTGCTTACTCCCAACTCCAAATCATTAATGAACAAGTTAAAAAGCATCAGACTGAGTACTGATTCCTGTGGAACCCCACTGCTTACCACCCTCTACTGAGAAAATTGCCCATTTGTACTCACTGTCTGTTTCCTATTAATTAGCCAGTTTTTGATCCACAAGAGGACTTGACCTTTTATCCCATGACTACTGAGCTTACTTAGGAGCCCTTGTCCACATGCTTGTTCACTCCCTCAAAGAACACTAACAGGTTTGTGAGACAAGAGCTTCCCTTACAGAACCCATGCTGAGTCTGCCTCAATAGTTTTTGTTCATCAATGTGCCTACTAATTCTTTCTTTAATAACAGTTTCCACCAACATACCCGGTATTGACGTCAGAATGACTGACCTGGATCTCCTCTGGAACCCTTTTTAAAGATGGGGGTGACATTAGCTACGTTCCAGTCATCAGGAATGGAGGCACATTTTAATGAAAGATTACGTATTTTTGAAAGGAGATCCACAAGTTCACATTTGAGTTCTTTCAGAACTCTTGGATGTATGCCATCTGAACCTGGTGATTTATCAGTTTTTAAGTTGTCTATCAGTCATAGGACCTCCTCTCTTGTCACCTCAATCTGACTCAGGTTTTTCAACACCCCTCCTGAAATCAGCGGTTCTGGAGCAGGCAAGCACTTCTCATCTTCCACAGTGAAGACAGAGGTAAAAAATGCATTCAGCTTCTCAGCCATTTCCCTATTATCCTTTAGTACTCCTTTTACCCCACTGCCTCCCTGGCTGGTTTCCTGCTTCTAATGTATTTGAAGGAAGTCCTGTGCCTGAGTTGTGGCGGTATGGAGTTGGGGTTCTCTCTCCCGACCTTCGGTGGGGCGCCTTTGCTGCCATCATCGGAGGTTAGGAGTTTGGGAGTGCTCCTGAACCCCGCCTTAACTATGGAGGCCCAGGTGGCAGACACTGCCAGATCGGCATTTTACCACCTTAGGTTAGTTCGGCAGCTGGCCCCCTTCCTCGACCGTGGCGACTTGGCTACAGTGATCCATGCGACGGTCACCTTGAGGCTAGACTACTGTAACGTTCTCTACATGGGGCTGCCTTTGTCACAGATCCGGAAGCTGCAGCTAGTGCAGAACGCAGTGGCCAGGCTGTTGATGGGTTCCCCTAAGTGGGAGCACATCCAGCCTGTGCTAAGAGAACTGCACTGGCTGCCAATAGCATACTGGATCCGTTTCAAAGTGCTGGTAACTTAACTTTAAAGCCCTAGATGGCCAGGGTCTGACCTACCTGCCTTTCCCCATACATACCCCCAAGAGCACTTCGGTCTGGAACACAACATCGCCTGGCAATCCCAGGCCCCAAGGAGGTAAGGCTTGCGGCGACCAGGGCCAGATCCTTTTCAGTGGCGGCCCCTACCTGGTGGAACAAGCTCCCAGAGGAGATCAGGGCCCTGCAGGACCTCATGCAGTTCCGCAGGGCCCGCAAGACGGAGCTCTTCCGCCAGGCTTTTATGTAGGGGCTGCCACTACCACCATCACGTGGTTAATAACGGGACGGAAGGACGGCCAAAATACTACACGGCACTGGTACCACCGGACTATGTACCAACTATAGTTGGCCTATGTACCAACTATAGGCAATACCACCTTTAATAGCAGCCTGATATTCCCCTGCAAACTACGGAGACCATCCTGTTCTTATTGAGAACTTTATTCTTTGTTGATTTAAATGGTTTTACTGTTTTATTCTGTTTTATGTGTGGGCACTAGCGCTCCCTTGTAAGCTGCCCTGAGCCTGCTTGCAGGGAGGATGGGGTATAAATATAAAAAACAAACAAATAAATAAAAATATTGTTGGTCTTTATGTTTTTTGCTATATGCTCCTCATATTCCCTTTTTGCCTGCCTGATCACAGACTTGCATTTTATTTGTCACAGCCTGTGTTCCCTTTTATCAACTTCACTGAGACTAGCTTTCCACCACTTAACGGAATCCTTCTTACCTTTTACAGCTTCCATTACTTTGTTTGTTTGGTGTAGTGGTTAAGTGCACGGATTCTAATCTGGGGGAACTGGGTTTGATTCCCCACTCCTCCACTTGCACCTGGCTCGATGACCTTGGGCAAGCCGTAGTTCTGATAAGAGCTGTTCTTGAAAAAGAGCAGTTTCTGTCAAGAGCTGTCTCAGCCCCACCTAGCTCACAGGGTGTCTGTTGTAGGGAGGGGAAGGGAAAGGAGTTTGTAAGCTGCTCTTAGACACCTTCAGGTAGTGAAGGGCGGGGTATAAATCCAATCTCTTCTTCTTCTTCTTTGTTAACCATGCAGGCCTTTTTCTATACCTATTTGTGCCTTTCCTAACCTGCAGTATATATTTTTTCTGAGCTTCTAGGATTGTAGTTTTAAATAGTCTCCAAGCTTCCCCAAAGGTTTTGACCCTTTTTAGTTTTCCTTTCAGTTCCTGCTCACACATCCCCTCATTTCAGAGAAGTTACCTGTTTGTGTTGCTCTTTCTATTTATACAAATGTTGGAACTCAATAACATTATGGTCACTGTTTCCAAGCGGTGCAATCACTCTTACATCTCTCACCAGGTCTTAGGCATTACTTAGGACCAAATCCAGGATCACCTGTCCCCTGGTACATTCTGTAACCATCTGCTCCATAGCACAGTCAATGAGAGTATCTAGAAACTCAGTCTTTTTTTGCTGAACACATATTGACCCAATCGATGTGTGGGTAGTTAAAATCACCTATTATGACATGGTTATTTCGTCTAGCCACTATCTTTAATTCATTCATCATTTTATAATCCTCCTCTATCTTTTGATCTTGTGGGCGATAAACTCCCAGTGTTAAGCTTCCTTTTGGGTCCTCTCACACAGTACCCTCAGCTAAATCTCCTCAGCTGAAAGCAAATAAAAAACACTCACCCCTCTAGTAGCTCTGTCTCCTGCTGCTTCTCAGAGCTCAGCTGGGTCAGATATTGGCCCAATATACATATTTCCAAGGCAATAGTTCTATATAAATACTACCCACCATATAAAAATATTTGCTTGCAATCACCATAAACTGCACATGTTCTGCCCAATGCTCAAAGAGTGATTTTATTGTATACAAACTGTGCAGCTACACACTGGTGTTGGACCAAGATCTGGAAGATCTGGGTCCAAATCCTCACTCTGCAATGGAAGTTTGCTGGGTGACCTTGGGCCAGTCATACAGACTAAGCATAACCTACCTCACAAAGTGGTTGTACTTAGGATATGAATAATATAAGATGCTTTGCATACCCATTGGGAACAAAGACAGGGTATACATGAAGTAAATAAATGTGCAGGCACTACACAAATTGAAGGTGCCATTGTCAGGCAAGAGAAAGAAGCTGCAATCCTTGATTACCTCCTACATGACTAGAGGCAGGGGGAGAAGAGGGTCAACAAAGAACAGCAGCGGTAAGGGCCAGATAATCTGTGATTATGAGAAGCAGGAGAAAACTAACAGGAAGTCATCATCATTATCTGATCCTGTTCATTAAAATTCTGTGGGGCATCTGACTGGCCACTGCCAGATATGCTAAGCTAGACGGATATTTTCTGATCCTGTATAACAATTGTTAGTTATTTATTTATTTAATTAATTCCATTTGTATCCCGCCCTCCCCGCAATAAATAATTAATTCTCCTTGCCAAAAGAACTCACATTTAACATAATGATGCAGTTTGAGAGTTCTGAGAGCTTTGAGAATTATTATAAATTATATTAATATTTTGAACCATGATTTTTAACCATATACCTGATTTTTTTTCAGTTACATTTTCAGTTTCTTCTCACTTGAAAATGTTTTTTACCTTTGTTAATAGATTCATAGCAGCTGATACAGACTCTTGCTTCTTTATCCATATACTGGAGTTTGCATTTTCGGTTGCAGCAGGGACCACAAAAAACCTAGATTAGAACAACTGAATTATGGTATCATTGCAGCTAAATTGTGTGTTGCTAGTCAGACAATTCACAAGTAACTGGAGGAATTAAAGTGACTTGGAAAATCTTAATTGTTTAGTACCTACATAAAATACATTTGTTTTTTACAACACAGCTAATGATACCTTTAATTCCATGGCATAATACTGACACCTAGAGGACAGTGAATTTGAGAAAAACCAGCAAACCTTATATTGATTTTCAACATGTTTATGCTTAACTCAATTTCTCTTAATTAGGATAATGATTCTTTTGCAAAATTTAGGAGAAAAGTACAGTAGCCTGAGCATCTGCTACAATCTCATCTGGTCTATTCTGAACTGCTGCTGTGAAATGGATAGACTGTTAACATTTACCGGTGTTCAAATTCAAATTCCTATTCAGCCTTGAAATTCATTGGTTCGCTTAAGGTCATCCACAATTTCTCAACCTAACATCAGAGATGTTCTGAGGATAAAGCGAGATAACGCCATACAGGCAACCCAAAGGCCCTTGGGGCAGGGCTGCTGAAAAAGGGGGGAAGGGGGGGATAAAATTCCAGGAGCTCATTGTATCAGGCTCTCTGAATTCCCAGCATCTATTTTTTAAAAAAGGACATCTCTTGCACTTTCCAGTGAGGAAAGCCTTTCCCCTTACATCTCTACAATGGAAGAGGCTAGACACTTTTTAAAAAATGAAAGCTAGAATTCAGAGAAAATGATACACATGCTTGTTATAACTTTATCTCAATATGATATTCTACTACAGGGGGAGTAAATGACTACTGCAGGGACAATTTAAAGGAAAACCTGGAGGAGTCAGTTAAGGTGTCTCTTATGGAGGATATGACTGATGTTTCACCAGTTTCCTTTCCCATTAAGGATCTTTACATTGTTGAGAACTAGCATGGTGTAGTAGTTAAGAGCGGCAGACTCTAATCTGAAGAACTGGGTTTGATTCCTCCACTCCTTCACATGAAGCCTGCTGGGTGACCTTGGGCCAGTCACAGATCTTTCTGAACTCTTTCAGCCCCACCTACCTTACAAGGTACCTGTTTATAGGGATATAAAAACCAACTATTCTTCCCTTTTTCCCCCTTTTGGGTGAGTAGAAATATTTTGAAGTATTTTTCCAGCTGAGTACTCATTCAGTGTGGCTTATTCTCAAGTAATTTGTGTCTCATCTGTATTTAACTTCTAGCGCACTTCAGTATTTGGCTAGGTCCCTTGGCTGGGAAGTCTTTCTGATTCTGCTTGGGCTTTTTTTTTTTTTTTTTTTGCACTGCATTCTTTGCAACCTGCACAGGATAAATTGTAAGTTAAGTAAAATCTATTCTTTAATAATCCTGTCCCTTTTCCTTTACAGTTTCTTACCTAATGAACAATTATTATTCTATTCATGGTATCAGGAAGCCAAGTGATTTGTTCTGTCATGATACTTCAATAAGGGTTTGAAGAGGGAGGAGATGGAATCCTTTTCCAGGGCCCACGGTGGCTGTCAGCAGCCCAGCCTTGGGATACAGATAGAATATTTAAAAAAATGAAACACCCACTTCCTTATTGCCTTCTTTCCTGGGAAGTTGGACTGAAGAAGCAATCAAGTCTAGGCAGCAAAAAAACCCAACCCTTACAAAGCAATCCTATGGAGAGTTACTCCAGCCCACTAAGGCCATTGAAATCAATTGGATTGCATGGTCCAATGGTTTGTTTTGAGCCAAGGCCCACCCAGGCTGAACACACTTTCTCATAATATCAAGTATCACACTGTCTTTTGCATATCTGAGACAGGACTTCCAAGTTCAAAGGTAGAGAGGCAGAGATCTGTGGGAAGATGCCTTTCATAGTAAGAAATGCTGGTCAACCAGTTTGTTTCTGAAGGAACAAGAAATTGTTCTTCTTTATCATAAATATGACAATCTTTCACTTCCTGCCTGGTTTCCCCAGAAGCAAGCTGAATAAGAAGGGAAAATATCAGTCTATGACAAGGGCAAAAAGTCACCAGACTTGGCATCCCCAGAGGCAAAACAGGCAGGAAAGACTCACAGCACTCGCACTTCTTTGCCCAGCACCATCGAGTCCACAGATAAAATTTTAAATTCCAGCTGTTTGCAGGTACCTAGAGGGAAAGCCATTCCTCCCTCTTCTTTACAACTTGCAGATTTAAGTTTGCATTCATTAAATATGTATTTTGTTCCTTCCATTGTGTTTTCAACCATAAAAGTCTAATGGCTGATAACAATTCATATATTGGTTTCTTTATACACAGACTAAAGCCAAAGAAATCTGGAGGGTGTTGAAGATGGAAGAAGAGGTGTTACTAAAAGGAAATATTAACCAAACAGGAGTTCACAATAAATTCTATGTTGACAAACCAGCATAGATAAACCATATTTAATTACTTACTTTTCCACATGCACGACAATGATGTCTTCTCTTCGTAAATGTGAATTTGGTTTGGCAATTCATGCAGTTTGGTGCTTCCGAATCAGGAACCCAGGAGGGCTGCTTCTGTCCCAGAACTGCATCTTGTTCCACTACTTTAGCAGGTTCTGAGGCAACTGAAGCAACGCTCCCTACTTGGCCTTCCAAGAAGTTCTGTGTATCAACGTAATTATAATTGGAACTTGAATCAGGACAAAGTCTCCCACCAGAGAGAGAGGTATTTGGGACTGTGCAATTCATTCCCTGGGGTTCACTCTCAAGCATATTTGGACTACTAAAATTGGAGCAGCTTTTGGCTTTGGGTGGAAGGTTTAGCAACTGTTTTGGCCTTGCACCTCCACTGTGCACAATCTGTTGGTTATTTAAAAGATCTGAAACGCCAGCCCTAGTTTCATTTATGTCATCTGATGTCTCTTTCTGAACCTGCAATGTGCTTTTTTCAGCTAGAATTCCCATTTTAGGTTCAGAACCAGATACTATATAATTATCAGCAGAAGCGGCTTCCACCTGCTTAAATTTTGTTTCTATCTGTAAACAATCACTTTTGTTATTAAGTTTCTGAGCTTCTACCGCGTTGTCTTGACCCACATCCAGAAGTTCATCATCAGTATCATCTTTCAGTGGCTTTAAACTACTAGACTGAAGACAATGCTCAGACAAGAAAGCATCGAGTTCAGCATCACTAACTAGCATGTCATTTTCAGTAATGTCTTCCTCTATACCTAAATCAACTGAAGCTCTATCATCAATGTCAGTGGGCAGGATGCCGCTGCGTGCTTCCATAGTTGCATCTAAAGAACAACTAAAAGTAGCAGCAAACTCTTGTTGACTGGGAAGATCAGATTTACTGGCAGTGTTGTCCAGCTTCTCCCTTTCTGTAAAAGGTTCTTCTGGACTCGAACGGCTGGCTGTGCTTAGAATTTTTTCCTGTTCAGAAGCATCTCTTCTTTCATGCAATGCCCACTTGGGAAGACCAGCCTGATGTCTTTCTATGTGCATAGTTATGTCACTAATGACATCTGCTGTGTCATCCTGAGCCATCTGTCCATTTTTGTCTTCGCTTGTAACAAATGACCCACATATAGATACAGCAAGGGGAAGACAAGACAAAGAAGTCTGTAAATCTTCAGAGACTTCTGGTGCTGAAACAGTATTTAAAACTTGATGGGTATTTTGTCCTGGATTACACAGTTTTTCCTCAGTGCTTGGTGCTTTATCTAAAACTAGCATATGTTCGGTTGGAAGCAAGGCATTAGCTAACACTAAACTGTTTTTATTCAAATCACACATCTTTGGTGGGTTAGAGGTGACTGATTCAATTTTATCATAGTCCGAAATGGCTTGTTTGCCACTTTCTCTACATATCATTTGACTTTTTGCACAATATGTATTTTCATCCACTAATGGTTCACAAGGCAACTTTTCACACAGTGCACCATCTTTGGAACTGTGTGCATTAGAAACAGGTTGCATTATTAAAGCTGAGGTCCTATCAAGTGCTATAATTTGTTCTAACTGATCGAATACTTCATTATTCAAAGCTGCTGTCCTTTCTTGAGTAACAGAGTCCACAACATTTGCTTCAGTGTAGCTGCCTGTCATTTGTACCAGTTGATTCACATTTTCTGTTGCATTATCGTCTGTGCTGCACAACACTGCCTCTCCATCAGTCTGTAATTCTGTACGGGAATCAGTACTACAATCAACTGACAAATTACAAGCAGTAGCTGGCACCAATGCTAAATCAAAGCCTATAAGAGAATCCCTACTGCTCTGGAAGTCACCCGGCTGCAACTTTTGAACACACTCGGAATTACTTTTTACATGGCCCAAGCTACCTGTATCACTAATAAGGTCACAGACTGGTATACTGCATCGTCCCAGGGAAGAAGAGTGGCTTTTTTCTGAAGAACCACCATCCACCATAGACAGAAGATCTAGCCCAGTGACATTTTTCTCATTTTGTTCAAAACTTGCAACTTTTGTAGTCTGAACTGATAATGAGAGTTCATCTGTTGTAGTGGCAACACAACTATTCTCTTGCACATTTGGTTCCAATAATTTTTGCTGCTGCTGATCTAATTCTGAAGAAAGTAAATGGTGCTTAGAATCATGTGGATTTACACCTCTATTGTCTTCAAGTTCATCTGAAATAAGAGACCCAAATTAAAACAGCTAGAATATCATTAGACTGGAACATAAATTTGATAAACATAAATTCACAAAAACACATAATCTCTGCCTTCCTCTCCCACCCTAGCCTCCTACATGCTCCAAAAAACCTGCTGAGGTTCAGGGGATCCTCCTGGACAAAATGCCATGAGGCACTAGGGAAGTGGGGAGAGAAGGCTGTAGAAACAAGCTCCCAACAAGCTGAGCAAGCCTTAGAGAAAGGATTTCTCTGCTCATAGAAGAACAACAGGCACCAATTTTGCTGATTCCCCTCTTCTTCACACAGTCCCCCCCCCACCTCACACCATTTTGTTCAGGAAGGTCTCCCAATCTCAGAAAGATCCATTTACGTAAAAACCATTCATTCATAAAACTTAAGATCTAATACTTTGTACCACCAAACCCTGCATACAGACATTTCTTTGAACTCACCAAAACACAAAATTAATATTGCTAATTCAAACTCTCCACTTTGAAGATACCACCCACCCATGCACCCACCATGGAGGCTTAAAGAATAAACTAACCTGCATTTTGCTCAAATTCATCAAGTAGTTTGTCTAAGTCAGAAACTGCTGCTTTAAAGTAACTGTCCATTTTAAGGCTTGGTCTGGTGAGAATGTTCTCCTCTTGTGCCTATAAAGCAAATAACAATGATTTGAGGGAATATAAAGGGATTTTTTTGAAATAAATTGCTCAGATTAATATTTTCATTGAATAGGAGTCATACTAGATTTTCAAACACAGTTCACACAGAGCACAGAGTAATAAAGTCTGCAGGTGATCACAGCATAGATATGTGAGGCTACACCAAGCTTTACAAGGAAAAGCCACAAGTGGTAAAGTTCAGGCAAAGTTGACTGAAGGGGCTAAGATGCTACAGAATGCCCTGTGAGTATAAGCAAATAGCACTTCAAATTGGGAGCTGGCTCCTTTAATTGTAATTCAACCACATTCCTAACACATTGGCTCCTTGAACCCTGACATGCCATACTGTCAACCAACTGTCTTCCCTGGATTGAACTTTCTGGCCATCCAGTACATCAACACATCTAGATATTCATTCAGAATAACCACTACTTCACCATATCTCCAGATGCTCTCTCCCTTCACTTTTATGTAGACATTAGACAATACGATAAACAAAATGACAAAATACAAGTGCCAAGTGTGAACCCCACCACCCATCAATCACAAAGGGCAGAGCTACTGGAGCACAGTGCCAAGAACATCTAGGCCAGCCAATCAAGAAGGCTACCACAGACATCAAAAGCTGTCAAAAAGTCCGGGGGGGGGAACCCTCAAAGACATACTCCTCTCCCTCTTCTTGCAAAACTCTGGTACCATAACCAGGTCTGAAAAACTGGAGTCACATGTCCACCACTTTCCTGAACACCTTGACCATTAATGAAATATTTGTTTAAAACATTCAGATTTAGAAATGGCTAAAGAAGGCGCTTCGTGACCATCTCCTTTAATGCAGCTGAGATTATCCACTATCTCACTGACATCTGGGCAATCCCATTCAGTAGATGAAATATGTTACAAGAAGCAAAAGAATGTGAGATTGTATTTTTCCAAGCAACTTGTCTACATACTAAGACTGCAATCACTGATATTCATCCAAGCAAGTGTGACTAGTCTGGGCTCTGATTACATCCAAGATCATTCTAAAGAAATTGTAATCTCCAGAACATAGCAAAGGCAGGTGATTTATCTACCAGTGTCTAGCAATCAAATCACAGTAAAGCTTCTAAACTAACATCAGAAGTAGTTAATTGAGAATAACTATATTGCATCTCAGAAAGCTGAGCTGAATGGCAAGACAAATGTGTCACTTTAACTGCTACAAATTAGGCATGAAAAGATGTTGTAGCCTATGCTCAGCAGTACTTTTCTCCACATGCTTAAAGGCACTAGCCAGCTCATTTCATCCCCTCAGACCCCAAAGTAGAGCCATTTCCTTGGTAACATTTATTTTGAGCCCCAGTCACCTGAGTTAGAAGTATTCCTCAACAGAGTTTCCCAAGAGTGCAATACTACTGCAGGCTGCTTCTTCCAAACACTATATTAATATATATAAACATATATAAACATATATCCTGAAGTCCTGTATTAACTTCTTGAGCCACCAAAAGCACAACTAAACTAACCAGCTGTATGTGTTCTTAAGGTCTGTGTAATCTGAAGAACACGCACACACTGCTAAAAACACATGTAAATGAACAGACGAAGCATCCAGAAAGAAGTTAATCCATCACTCAAGAAAGTTATTAGAGAAAACACAACATTATTTGAGGCTTATGCTGTGTTAGCCTTCACTATGGCTCCATTAAGTCAAGCAAGGAAATAAAAGTGAATCAGCTCAGAGAGGTAATAAACTGGTGAATAATATCAAGTCAGTAGTAGGTACCCGGTGTTGCCAAAGTAGTAATTGGAATTCCATACCTAACAGTCTAAAACAGATTGTATCATCACTCTCTCTAGACTACATTATTACAAAGCACCCTAGTCAGATTGCTGATTTTAAATTGCATTGGCTCTCTGTATCCTAGATGCTACCTCCTCTCACTGCAATGTATAAGGTCAGCCAAAAATGTCTTATTAATTATTCCATCTATGAGCCACATTTGGACAGCAAACATACCCAGAGGTATTTTGGTAACTCTCCAAAGCTATAGAAGAATAATCTCTTTGTCATTAAGGTGCCTCCTTTTTCACAGACTTGTCAAGCCTTCAACTAAATACTGTTCACATAAATATGTATGTATTTGGAGCACAGTGTAGTCTAAAGTCACACAATATAGCAGCCTTGGTAAACAGCTTGGGTCTCGTCAAGGTTTGGACTTTGAACACACTTTTCAGAGACTCATTTTTGTTTTCCAAGAAAATGACATTATGCTTAAGAATCAAGGGAGGTGGCAGGTCAGAAAGTTAACCTGAATTATCAACCAATTCTTGATTAACAGTGAAGACTCAGAAACCTATATCTACACAACTGTACAGGAGATACAGATCGCTCCTAGAATTGACCCCAGAGTGATTTTTAATTAATAGTAAGGCAGCCCCACAAGCAGTTTTTGAACTGCATGGATTAACTGTCTTTACACTAAGCAAATGCCATTTTTCTAGATAGAACTGACTCTAGGGTGAAGACAGGTATAAAAAGAGGGGCTGCACCAAGTCCCTCAGCTGTGTGGTGAGCTAGAGTTCTTTCCAGCTTCACAATCTGAATGAAAGATGCACATACTAGTGAATCAAATGCTGGTTCAGGTCACTGGTCTTGTCCCCCTCCCCTGTGCTTTAAGCAAGTTGCCTTTTTTTAAAAAAAACACACGCTAAATGCATATTGATCTATTTATCTACAAATCTTTGTCTTATTAATGAAACAAAAAGGAAAAGTGATTTGGGAATAATGGAAGGCAAGATTTCACAATTACACTGCCAGCAACAGTCCGTCAAATGCCAACTGCAGAAGATTTCTGCTGAAAACCCGCAGAGCCAGTTTTTCCAAGTTTGATACTAGAGAAGAAAATATGATTATGTAAACATAATAATGGGACTTACAAATTGGCCCCACTGATCCAAGTGTTATGCCTGTCTTAACCCTGAACATAAAACACTGAAAGCATCCATAGTTAATGCTAAGATTACTCATAATTTTAGCCAGAGATGTATTCCCTTGTTTAATGGAGATGAGTTACAACTAAAGAGTTGCAATATACTTACAGCCCAATCCAGTGTTTACTCTGGGATTCAGAGGCTTAGTGCCTCTGGATGTGGAGCTTCCCCTCAGTCACCGTGGCTAGTAGCCACTGATAAACTGATCCTCCACGAATCTATCTAATCCCCTTTTAAAGCTGTTTATTCCTCTGGGCATCACTACATCCTCTGGCAGAGAATTCCACATTTTAATCATTCTCTGTGTAAAGTAGTATTTCCTTTTGTCCATCCTGAACCTACTGTCCATCAGTTTTATTGGATGCCCTCAAGTTCTAGTATTTTGGGAAAGGGAGAAAAAAGTCTATTTGTCAACTCTCTCTAGGACTGCCAAGCCGCGGCGGGGGATCCGTGCGTCTTCACAGGATCCCTGCTACAGGGGACAGCGATATGGGTTGCACCGCCGTCGCCAGGATGTGACGCTACGCGTCGCTCTGGCAATGGGGCTGTTTGGAGTCCCGTTGCCAGAGCGACGCGTAGCGTCACATCCTGGCGACGGCGGTGCAACCCGTATCGCTGTCCCCCGTGGCAGGGATCCTGTGAAGACGCACAGATCCCCCACCGTGGCTTGGCAGCCCTAACTCCAACCCAAGTATAATTTTATAAACCTCTATCATGTACCCCCTCTTAGTAATCTCTTTTCTAACTGAAAAATCCCAGACTCTTCAGCCTTTCCTCATGGGAAAGGTGCTCCAAACCCCGTAACATCTTGGTGCCCTCCTCAGCACTTTTTCCAGCTTTGCAATGACCTTTTTGAGATCTGGTGACCAGCACTGTACACAGTATTCCAAATGAGGCTGTACCATAGATCTATACAGGGGCAGTACAATATCGGCTATTTTATTCTCAATCCCTTTCCTAATAATCTGTAACATAGAGTTTGCCTTTTTCACCACTGCAGTATGCTGGGTTGACACTTTCATTGAGTTATCCACTACGACCCCAAGTTCTTTTTCCCTCTCATTTTTAATAAGTTCAAACCCCATTAGCCTATACTTGAAACTGTAATTTTTTTGTCCCAATGTGCATCACTTTACACTTACCAACACTGAACCTCATTTGCCACATTGTCGCCCACTCACTCAGTTTGTGGAGGTCCTCTTGGAGTTCTTCACAATCAGCCTTGGTTTTCACCATCCTTAGTAATTTTGGGTCATCTGCAAATCTGGCCACTACACTACTCACCCCCTGTTCCAGATCACTGATGAATAAATTAAATAGTACCAGCCCCAATACCTACCCTTGTGGGATCCCACTGCTTACTTCCTTCCATTGTGAGAACTCTCCATTGATTCCTACTCGTTGCTTCCTCTATGTGCCTAACAATTTATCTTTGATCACAGCTTCTACTAATTTGCCTGTGATTAGGGCTGCCAAGCCGCGGCAGGGGATCCGTGCATCGTCACAGGATCCCTGCCACGGGGGGACAGCGATACGCGTTGCACCGGCGTCGCCAGGATGTGACGCTACGCGTCGCTCTGGCAACGGGGCTGTTTCGAGTCCCGTTGCCAGAGCAACGCGTAGCATCACATCCTGGCGATCCCGGCGCAACGCGTATCGCTGTCCGCCCGCAGCAGGGATCCTGAGATGACGCACGGATCCCCTGCCGCGGCTTGGCAGCCCTACCTGTGATAGACATTAGGCTGGCTGGCCTATAATGTCCTGGTTCCCCTTTGATCCCTTTTTAAAAATTGGTGTTACATTTGCTACTCTCCAGTCCTACAGCAGCTGAATTGAGTGGTAGGTTATATATATGGGTTAGTAGATCAACAATCTCACATCTGAGTTCCTTAAGAACACTCAGGTGTATGCCATCAGGACCTGGAAACTTAACGGTTTTTAATTTTCCCAGTAGGTCTAGAATTTCATCTCTGGCCTCCTCAATTTGGCTCAGTTCTTCAAACGCCCTTCCTGCAAATAAGGTCTGTGGCAGGGGTATGTGCTCCACACTTTCCCCAGTGAACACAAAAGCAAAAACGTCATTGAGCTTCTTTGCCATCTCCCCATCTTTCTTTAGCAATCCCTTTATTCCTTTGTCATCCAAAGGCCCCACTGCTTCTCTGGTTGGTTTCCTGCTCCAGATATAATTTTTAAAAACTCCATTCCAACTTTTGTCAGATTATCACTTAATAATTCTAAGTTCACTTTAAGAAGCAGATCAAGGACACTTTTCAGACACAGACAGCCAACAGAAAATACACTCTGTAAAGACATTCCTAAAGGAAATTCAACTTTAAAAAACTACAACATGTACCAAATAAAACACCTCAATAGTCAGCACTTTAATTAGCTTCTGAGAAGACAAAACCAGAGATTTTAACAGCTAACCTTGAAGTAACAATGACTGTCAAAACAGCATGGCTTGTTAGAATGCCAAACCATTTTATAGTTAAGTTTTTTCAGAATCTCAAAGCTACAGTTACCACAGATTCACTATCTTAAAATGCCACATTAAGGACAACACCCCAATCCTACTACACACCAGCAAGAACATCATGCAAGTTTCCAAATCGCTTGGTTCATTACAGCAAGTAATTGTCTTCAAGGGACCAGGCAAGAAAACTGTTGTGAACTTGGCAATTATTAGGTGGGTTCCCCCTCCCATCCATATGAGACTTCTTGTGGTAGAGACCTGTATGGGCAGATAAGCTCATAAACACTGTGTTGTTTTGATTTATAAGGTGGACAGACATAATGTCATATTTTTGACACTGTACTAGCTTTGACCAGAGAAAAGCATTTCCAGTTCTTAGGAACTCAAGAAATCCAGTGCCTGGGACTTTTCTGGTGTCAGCTGTCAAAGTCAGAAGATTTATTTGCTGGTCTGATTTAAGTATTACAAAGAGATCAGGACTGTTTTTCAGTGTTATAATACCAGGGTTATGTTTTTAGTTTCAAAGGGTGCCAGGAAGAATATTATTTATATCTGATATGCCAAATCCTTTTTCACCTATCTCCCTTTCAATGGGTAAGAGGAAAGCCAAGTACCCCAGCATGTGTGAAGAATGTTATATTAATTTATATTTTAGACAGCACAATCTCCCTGATGTTCCTGATTTATTTATTTTTTTTACCAAGCTAAAGGCTTGGCACTCCACTCTACTAATAAAGAGAGGTGGGTACAGACAAAAACTTCTGAAGACTTTTACACTGGACTACACAGCCAAGGCCACGGGAAGCGGAGACATGTTTAGATCTCCAATCCCCCAAAAAGTCAGTTTGAACAGGAAGCTGGAACGGGAACTCTGAAGAAGAACACAACGAGAGAGAGAAAATAGGGGGGAGAGGGGAGAATGCTCATGTAACACGGGAAGACACACACAGGCAGACAACCCCCAGCGTACTTATAAGGTGACCGTGACAACCCTAAATTGGCGCCCGGGGTCTGAGCGGGGGGCAGCGGCACGGACAAAGCCCCAGACTAGCGAAGCTCAAGGCTTGCTCGCACTGGAATGCCTCTCCTCTCGCCCTTGCCAGAACAGCAGACGCAGTCAGAGCAGGGAAAACGGGGAGACAATCAACGCCCACCCGTTGCTCGCCCCCTGCCGCCGTACCCTCTTCTGAGGCCCACGCAACCACAGCGACCACACCCCCCCACCGCGAATCAGGAGGCAATCCCTACCCTGACCACCTACACACACGGCCCGACCATCTCACCTCATGGGCGCCGCTGCCGACAACACAGCCAACGCCGCGTCGAGGCGCGGAGTCTGCCGCTACACTTTTTTTTCCAGACTTTGTGTTTTCTGAGAGGATTCTCCTGCGCCTTCGCTTCCTACGCGTGCGCAGACGCTCTCGTCCCTCCACCTTCCCTCAAACCCGGAGACTCCGACTACCAATCTCCGTCACCGTCTCGTTTGCGCATGTGCAGTGCTAGGGTGCTTTCTTCTTCCCCTCTTGGATGGAATGGCTTTGATGTTTCCCGGGGGAAGAGAAAACTATTGTGCCATACTTTGTTTTATAGAAATAGATAAGGGATGCCAGATGTCCTATTTTGAGAGGACATGTTCTCTCTCTTCTTTCTTTTCGCGTCTGTCCTTCTTTGGGCTCTTTTAAAAAAACTGATGCAAATGCCCTCTTTTTGTTTTGGGAGGCTAAGCCTGTTTTGCCCTATAGTCCCCCAGTGGAGGCAAGCTTCAGGTTAAATAGGGGTATTTACAATGAGATCTGTCAAAGAGACCAGTTGTGTGAAGTAGTCAAATGGGAAATATGTCCCTTTTTTTTGCTTTTCAAAATATGGCAAGCCTAAAATAGATAAAAAGGATATTCTATTTGTTTCCACCTCATCTTTGGAGAAAGTGAGTTCACACTTTTGCGCAGGAGAAAATCTCCTTCCTCTTAGTTTGACAGCCGCTGCTGTGCAAAAGTGGAGTGATAATTTTGAAAATGGGGAATGAAGTGGCAGCGGTGGGTTCCCAGCCCTGGAAACGTCAGAGCACACATATAACTCCCATTCTGTTGTCACTCCATTGGCTTGCCCCTTTGTGTTTTGCCCTCAAGTCACAGCTATGGCCACCCCATAGAGTTTTCAAGGCAAGAGATGTTCAGATGCAGTTCGCCATTGCCTGGCTCCGCATTGGGACAGTGATATTCCTTGGAGGTCTCCCATCCAAATACTAGCCAGGGTTGACCCTGCTTAGCTTCCAAGATCTGACGAGATCAGGCTAGCCTGAGCTACTGAGGTCAGGCTGCTCATTTGTTACCAGGCTCAAGTTAAGGTATTGCCTATCACCTGCAGAGCTGTTCATGTCCTTGGTCCCTCATATCTTCAGGACCGTCTCTCCCCCCTATGCTCATCTGAGCAAAGTCTTCCGCTGGTGCCAACCTGCAGATGGGCAAAATCAACAACTGCACATACATGTGCATGTGTTCTCCATTGTGGGCCCCAGCCTGCAGAACAGCCTGCTGGAGGGGGTCAGGAAGAATGCCACTCTCCTGGCTTTCTGCAAACTATGAAAAACTGAATTTTTCAAGAAGGGTTTTCTACACAGGCAATAAGGTTGCACTGTACAAAATGATTCACAAAATTATTTGGATAAATGATTAACAGCGCAATCCTAAAGGTGGGCTGAATGCACTCAGGGAGCCAACTGACCTGTGCGTCATGTATGTCTGAGATATGGCAGCACAAGGGCTAGTTACGATGGTGCAGCCCCCAGCACTGTCCCGTCACCCTCAGGTGCCAGTGGAGGGCTGCACGGGCTGCACAAGCCATAGTTGCACAGCACCATGGCCCCTGACATGCCATGGGAAAAGATCCCAGGAAAGTTTCCTGGGAGCTCTTCGGCAGGGGAATGCTCTGTCATTCGCCTGATTCCCACATTCCCTCGGCAGAGGACAGGGCATGTCAGTGGTGGTGGTGGTGGTGGGGTCTGGCAGCTGCTCTGCTGACTTGCCATGTGATCCTTTAACTCTTTTCCTTGCAGAATCAGTCCCGAGCAGCAGCTGCAGGTGGTGCTGTGGATGGGTTGCCAGCAATCCATGAGAACACCAACACAAGACAGGTGAGTGTAATTTGGATGGTCCCGTCATGTGCCTCAAGGGGGGAGTTATGGCAAGGTGCCCCCCCCATGGGACTGCATTTGCAGACCCTGTCGGGACAACACATCCATGGCTGACTCCAGCATGGCACTCGTGACCAGTTGCCATGGCTAGATGTATTTTTGTTTTACTTGCCGGCAGGCGGAGATTCAACAGGGAGACTTGTGGGTGTGGCAAGTCCCGCCTCCCTCCCCATACACACTCTGCTCAGTCCACTGTTCCAGCCCTCCTCTTGATGTGGAGCATCGTACCTGGCCAGTCCTTCCAAGTTCCAACTGCAATGCCATCTCAGACACATGCCATGCCAGATGGCCCCACTGATGGACCTCCTGATGGCACCTGGTATTTTTGGCCACTGTGTGACAAGAGTGTTGGACTGGATGGCCTGACCCAACATTGACTTCTCTTATGTTCTTATGCCAGGGATCCTCAGTTCTCTTCCCTGTGGCCCCAGGGAGGAAACATCCAGAGTTTTCACACCCTGCCATGCTTTGCAGTTCAATAAAGTCTGTTGTGCCACAACTGTGTCTCTGCCAGTTTGGTTTTGACTACATCACAGGAGCTCCACACCCCTCCCTGCCCCACTCCCTCCCCAGCCCATCTGTAACTCCCCCAGGGCTTCCTGAGGGCATGTCTAAGAGGGAGGGCTCTCGGGTACCTTGGGTGGCTGTGGAGGGTTGTCCAAGTCCCCCTGGTCAAAGTCATCTGCCAAACATAGCAGGGGCCCAGCGTCACAGACTGGTTCCCTCCCTCACCTCGCAGGCTTCTGTGTGAAGGGGGGAGGGGTCAGAGAATGAGTCAGCTTGGTGTGGTGGTTAGAGCATGAGACTAGATCCGGGAAGACCCAGATTCTGTTCCCCACTTGTACCATGGAAGCTAAGTGGGTGGCCTTGGGCCAAATGCACACCCTCAGCCTAACCAACCTCACAGGGTTGTTGCAAGTGTGAAACAGAGAACAGGGGAATGATGTAAGCCACTTGGGGAAGAAAGGCTGGAAATAAATTGAGTGAATGTTCAGAGTTCATAACTGTATGTGCTCCAGGAAGGGGGGGTTCTGCCACCCAGGAGGAAGACATCTGTGATGGTAACACACACTGAGAGGGCAGATCACGGGGGGGTTCCAGAGTCAATGGCTGGGGGAGGGAGAAACCAATGTAGCGGTTGTACTCAGTGTATTTGGAGGGGGTAAGGCTTGGGGTATGTGCTCATTGGAGATACTGGCATGCAGGAACAACAAATGACTCACATGGTTTCCACTGCAAGACATCACAACTACATCACTACACACAGAATGCAGAATGGATTTGGAATGACAGTCTCTGGGCACTGATTGCTCTGGAGCAGGA